AATCACCCTTGTAAAATGAGCTCTGGAAATTCCATCCTGGTTACCAGAAAATTTCTAGTAAGAGCAAGGACTTATTATATAGTGTTATCAAGTGGGGAATTGGCATATTTATACAGATTGCATAGTGTCATGGAATTTTGAATGTTTTAGAGAAGAGTTAATTCCCCATTTAAGATATTTGGTAATATAGGGCCGGGCACGGTGGCTCACACCTGTAATCCTAGCACTCTGGGAGGCTGAGACGGGCAGATTGCTCGAGGTCAGAAGTCTGAAACCAGCCTGAGCAAGAGCGAGACCCCTCTCTACTATAAATAGAAAGAAATTAATTGGCCAACTAATATATATAGAAAATATTAGCCGGGCATGGTGGCACATGCCTGTAGTCCCAGCTACTCAGGAGGCTGAGGCAGTAGGATTGCTTAAGCCCAGGAGTTTGAGGTTGCTGTGAGCTAGGCTGATGCCACAGCACTCATTCTAGCCTGGGCAACAAAGCGAGACTCTGTCTCAAGAAAAAAAAAAAAAAAGATATTTGGTACTATAGATACAGTGTTTAAAAATCATATTTGTTGGGCGTGGCGTGGTGGCTCACATTGTAATCCTAGCACTCTGGGAGACCGAGGTGAGAGGGTTGCTGAAGGTCAGGGGTTCAAGACCAGCCTGAGCAAGAGCGAGACACCTCTCTACTAAAAATAGAAAGACATTAGCTGGACAACTAAAAATATATAGAAAAAATTAGCCGGGCATGATGGTGCATGCCTGTAGTCCCAGCTACTTGGGAGGCTGAGGCAGGAGGATCGCTTGAGCCCAGGAATTTGAGGTTGCTGTGAGCTAGGCTGATGCCACAGCACTCTAGCCTGGGCAACAGAGTGAGACTCTGTCTCCAAAAAAAAACACACACAAAAACCAAATCATATTAGTTCTGTTAGGTTCTGCCTTCAAGTTTCTGATTTAGTGATTGGTTTAGTGATTGATCTCAATTGATTAATTGAGAAATATAATTTTGATTTCCTCTTTCACTCATTCAGTAGCCATTTATTGACTGTCAGCTGTGAGAGGCGTCGTGATGAAGCAGGTGTCTCAACCACAGTATTAGGGACATTTGGAGTGGAATCATTCTTGCTTATGGGAGCTATTCTGTTTAGCAGCAACCTGGTGCCAGTGGCATCACCCTCCCCTCCCCCATTGTGACAACCAAAAATGTCTCCATTTTCAAATGTTCCCTAAGCAGCAAAATCATCACTCTAGGTGAGAAGCATTGATGGCAATGGGCAAGAACAGATGGGAGGTGGAGGTGAGGGTAGAAGGGAGGCCAGAGAAGTGGCAGTTGAGCTGGGAGACATGAGTAGATTTGAGAGACATGAAGGAGGAATAGTAGAGAAGTCTTAATGGCTGGGTACATTGTGGGGACTGAGGGAGAGGAAGGCATCAGTAACAACTCTGGTTTGGGCAGTTGGAGTGATTGTGATGCTCTTATTGAAAGAACAGATAAAGGAGGGAGATATGCAACAGAAAATGGGTTCAGTTTGAGACATGTTGGAATTGACTGGGGGACGCTGTTCTCTGGGGAGTAGGTTCAGGGGCCCCGGGGGCAGGATTAAAGTCAGGACCCAGGTGGCTTTGGGAGGAAATAACTTAGTAATTGACACCAGGGCAGAAAAGTTGTCTTTTCAAAGGGAAAATCACTTACCTGCTAGAGAAAAGGATGAGCTGGATAATTAAAATGCCAACTAGTAGTTCTGTCAGAAAATCTAAACCATGCCACCAAGATTAAGTAGAAAGAGACTAAAAAAAACAAAACAAAAAGCAAGTATCAAAAACATTTCAGCATATTTTATAGTCAATTAAGATAGTAACAGAGGAGGAAGAGAGCTGAAAGAAGAGAGAAAAAAATGACATGGAATTCAGACAAATAGGTTAACAGTGAAGAGGCAGAGGATTATTCATTTAGTGTTTGTTGAGTGCTATTAATTATTTCATAATTTTAATTTCAAAAAAGCTACAAAATTCACATATTCTTATAACCCACTTCCTCATTTAAGCTTGAAAATTTTCAAACATAAAAAAGTTGAAAGAATTTCCTAGTGAACACCCATATATCTACCACATAAATTACATAATTAACATTTTATTATATTTGCTTTATCAGGTATCTGTCCATGCACACGTTAAATCATCTTATTTTTTGATGCATTTTAGAGTAGGGTGCAGAGATTAGTGCATTTAAGCCAACTATACGAGTACACATATTATTAACTAGAGTTCAATATTTGTTTGTTTAGATGAGTTTTCCCCTCCTACTTTTACTCATTTTATTTTTAAAATCCATATCCAATTTTCTGTGCTGGAAAATGGGTAGCACTACATTTTATTTTATAAACAGTTTTTGTGACCATTTGGGATACTAATACCGAAGACTTTTCTAACAATTACACTAGGTTAGATCCTTGAATACTATAGGGGCTGGTCACATCATCATTATTATTATTTTTTTTCCATAAACATTAGCTATTATTCTTCCATTTGGGGGTCAATAATCAAGTCACCTGCTAAGTGACACTGAGGTTGTCCAGTGTCTTGGGGTTACAGCCAGTGTTGTATCATAGAAACTAGGATATGGCCAGGCACAAGGTAGGATCTCTAATTATTTCTTAAATGCATATTTGCAACCACAGATATGATATTCTTACTTGACCAAATGATGTTAAACTTAGGCCATGCCCCAGGCATCTTTGGAACTACTAAATACCTACTAAATGCCAAACAATGCTTTGGCAAAGCTTTGCAGTTTGCCTTTGTGATATCCTTGCCAGTTCCCAAAAGGCAAACTATATGGGTGTTGTTTGTTATAAAGAATTTGGGATCTAAATTTGTAGGTTCGAGTATTGCCTCTGATGGTATGTGACCCTGGACAAATCTCTTAGCCTCTCTGAGCCTGAGTTTACGCATTAATTATTATTGAGTTGAGAGTACTTATCTATATTTGATGCCCAGACTTGTGAGTTTCAAATGAGCCTTTGCACGCAATAAAGCTCTGCCAACTGTGACCTGCTGCACAACTGTCACCTATTGTTTCATATTCAAAAGATGTGAAAGAAAATCAGCAGCTCTCTCCCTCCCTCCCATTCTCCCTCCCTCCCTCCTTTATGTCTTCTGTGCTTCTAGAATTTATCACAGAAGACAATAAGGAAACCAGTAGTTCAGAATCAAAGAGGTTCTGTTAAAGAAAGAGCAAAAATCAAGATTCAAAAAGTACCTTAGCACTCAAAGAAGCAGAAAATTCTAATAGCCACAGGCAAATTGTGCCCTCTGAGGAGCCTAGATTCTAGAAGAAAGAAAAGGGCAGTCTTGTGAAAGAGGAAACAAAGGCTTTTCAACTACTCTGGAATCACTTGAAGACTGGGATATTACCCTGGCAAAGTTATTAAAGTTGATTTACCATGTACTCCAAAGGGCCACCTAAGGACAGCTGGCTACCTGCCCTTAAGTTACATTTATTTTTAAAAACATAGTTTGAAAAACACTAGTAATCAAAGACTTACAGGACCAACTTTTTGTTTTGTTTGTTTTGTTTTCGATAAGGATCATTGAGGAAGGTTTAAAATGTTGGTTCATAATATGCAAAGGAATATCACACGTTTGCTTGCCACATTGAAACTGCATTGTATAATATGTAGTACTGTTCCCTCCTCTGGGTTATTTAGAAATATTAACAAGTTGGATAGCTATCCATATTTTCAAAGTGGTTAACAATGAACTTCTAACTTAAATACTTGTAACATTTATAATAGTAATGTCACTTTAATCTTGGTTTACTGCTCAAAGCTTCTTGAGATATCAATGATGTTTTTTAAATACTTTAAAAATATTTATTTAAATAAATAATTGAAACGGTCACAAAATGTACAATGAGGGAAAGTGTTTATACTAATATTGAGGTCAAAGTGTTAAGAAACTCCGTCACAGGACAAACTGTGCCTGGAAGGGTTTGCTTGGGAAAGTGGTGGTTTATAGCATAAAATCTGATTTTTGTGTGTTTGTGCCAAGGGTGTTTCCTTTCTGGTTTTTTCCCCCCCTTTTTATAGGCGGCCACAATAGTGACATGTTTAATATTGATGAGTTTGACCTCCTGGGAGTTATAGTATAGGCACCCTTTTTGAATACAAATGCTGTTTAATTTATATGGAAAACACATAGAATTTGGAGATTAGCATTTTAATCAACTCTAATCTCAGTATTTTCTGCCTCCCCCACCTCTCCTTTTTCTGTCTTTAAAAAAAAAGTTCCATAAACCAACTATGGAAATGACAGCTAATGTCCTCTCTCGGACACGCGGGGCCTGTGTGCAACATAAAAGCAGCAGCATGTGTAGTAAACCATATGTTCAATCGCATTAACAGTGTTGGGGGGGGGTGACCAATTATTTAAGAAACAGAACAATCTATTCATCCGACAAATATTTCCTGAAGAGCCTTGCAGAGGCAGGCAGGGGGTTACGTACGCGGCCGTGATATGACGGCCCCTTTCTGAACTGGAATTTATTTGGCTTCCGTTTTCCAGCTCCCCCCGTGTAAAACTTGCTTCTTTTTTTCTTGCACTTTTCTCGTGGCAGGTGCGGGAGCTGTGAAGTTCGCGGTGCGTCTTCCACCTGACGAGTTCTCCTCCTCCGTCCGGGCGGGGACGATGCATCCGATCCGCACGGTGGAAGTGCAAGTGCCCAGGCTGGAGGAGAGGGTTTTCGCGCGCAGGTTCTGCGCGGGGCCGGGCCCGCGCCGCGTCCGCGCAGCCATTGGCGGCCGCCGCGCGCCGCCCGAGCACGTCGCGCCCCGCCGGCCCGAGCCGCAGCAGCAGCAGCCGCAGCGCGGGCGGCCGCCGCGCATTCTGCAAAGCGGCGCGGGAGCGAGCCGGGCCGGCCGGGCGCGCGTCGGCCTCCCTCGAGCTCTGCCGCCGCGCCGCCTGACTCGGCCCGGAGACGCCCGCGGCCCGCGCCCGGGGCCGAGGAGGGCCGGCATGGCCTGAGTGCCCGGGGCGCGGCGGCGGCGGCGGCAAAGCGGCCGGAGGGCGCCATGGGGAACCAGGACGGGAAGCTGAAGAGGAGCGCAGGTGATGCCTCGCACGAAGGCGGCGGCGGCGGCGGCGCCGAGGATGCTCCGGGGCCCAGGGACGTGGAGGCCACAAAGAAGGGGAGCGGGGGCAAGAAGGCGCTGGGCAAGCACGGCAAGGGCGGCGGGGGCGGCGGCGGGGAGCCCGGCAAGAAGAAGAGCAAGTCGGACTCCAGAGCCTCGGTGTTCTCCAACCTGCGGATCAGGAAGAACCTGTCCAAGGGGAAGGGCGCCGCGGGCTCCCGCGAGGATGTGCTGGACGCGCAGGCCCTGCAGACCGGGGAGCTGGACAGCGCTCACTCCCTGCTCACCAAGACGCCCGACCTCAGCCTCTCGGCGGACGAGGCGGGCCTGTCGGACACCGAGTGTGCGGACCCTTTTGAGGTGACCCGCGCGGGGCGTCCCCGGCCTGCCGAGGCGGGGGTCGGCGGCCGGGCGGTCGCCGAGGATTTGGAAACTGCAGCGGGGGCGCAGGATGGACAAAGGACCAGTTCGGGTTCGGACACGGACATCTACAGCTTCCACTCGGCCACGGAGCAGGAGGATTTGCTTTCAGACATCCAGCAGGCGATCCGCCTGCAGCAGCAGCAGCAGCAGCTGCGGCTCCAGGGCTCCGAGGAGCCCGCAGCGCCCCCCGCCGCCACCTCCCCTCTGCCTGGGGCCTTCCTGGGCCTGGACCAGTTCCTGCGGGGGCCGAGCGGCGGGGCTGGGGGAGCCCGGGACAGTGTGGACGCGGAGCAGGCGCTGGCCGCGCTCTCCGACCCGCCCGAGAGCCGGGTCGCTGAGCCCCCCGTGCCCGCGCGGCCGCGGTCCCCGGGCGGCCTCCCCTCCTCCGAGGCGCCCGGCCTCGCGGGGGCCCGAGACTCGCCCTCGTCCACGGCCTTCCCGTTTCCCGAGGCCGGGCCCGGGGAGAGCGCGGCCGGGGCGCCGGTGCGGAGGGCTGGGGACACGGACGAGGAGGGCGAGGAGGATGCGTTTGAGGATGCCCGCCGAGGCTCTCCGGGCGAGGAGTGGGGCGGGGTGGTGGGAGAGGAGGCCCCGCCGCCGAGGCCGGAGGGGGAGCCGGGGGAGGGGGCGCGAGGGCCCGGCACCCCCACCGGCGCCTCCCTGCCCGGCAGCCCCGCGCCCAGCCCGCGCTGTTTCAAGCCCTACCCGCTCATCACCCCCTGCTACATCAAGACCACCACTCGGCAGCTCAGCTCGCCCAATCACTCCCCGTCCCAGTCCCCTAGCCAGAGCCCCAGCATCAAGAGGCGGCCGGAGCCCTCCCTGAGTCGGGGGCCCAGAGCTGCCCTGGCCTCCGCGGCCGCCCCGGCCAAAAAGCACCGGGTGGACGGCGGCCTCGCGGGCGGCCTGAGCCGCTCTGCGGACTGGACCGAGGAGCTGGGCGGCCGCTCGCCCCGGCCGGGAGGCTCCGCGCACCTGCTGGAGTGCGGAGTGGCCGCGGGAGGCGGCGACGGGGGGGTGTCCCCGGCACCCGCCACCAAGGCGTCCGGGGCATCCGCGGCTGCAGATGGCTTCCAGAATGTGTTCACAGGTGAGTGCACCCGGCTCCTGGCCGCCAGGTCGCACGTCGCCTGCCAATCAGGGCCTTCCGCCCCCCTCCCTCCTCGGGCTCTGAAAGGCTCTGACCTGCTAGTGGCGGCAGGTCTCTTCTTCATAAGGAATCCTGTTCTTCCCACCTAACCCCCTCGGCGAAGTGCCTTGGACGTGTGCTTGTTGGTTTTCTGTTTTCTTACAAGGTCTTGTAGGAAACAACTTAGTTGTGTCCGACCTAAGTCATCTCAAGAAAAGGATGCTCTGTCCATTTATTTGCCCGAACATCTGCTGTTCTCCATGCTCAGGGTCACGCCAAGCAGATAAAACAACTTTTTTGCCTTATTAGCTAAGCCATCCTTCTCTTTCCCTCCCCATCACCACAGCATCAGAAAGAATAAGCTGGTTCATGGTGTTTTTGCGAGGGTCAGGGTTGGAGGCACAAATCATTCATTCCAGTACTGTCCAAAGGCGATCTCTGACCGCTCTAATGCATACGTGTATGTATGTGTATGTAAATGTAGACATGCACCTGTAATATGTAGCTCCTATCTTGCAGCAGTCCAGGTTCTGCTACTTAGCGAAATTAAGTGGTCACTTCCGTTCGCTGATACAAGCAAATCTGATATGCACTATTAGAAAATTAATAAATAAATGGAATAGTAGGGATAATTTTCATTTCATTTCATGATCCAGTCAGAACAGGCTGTCGTTTGGAGGTAGTGAAGGCGATGGAGAAGGTCAAAAGCACACCTGGTCCAACTGATAACCTCTCCTGCTTACAGCATTTGTTACAGACTCTCACACTCAGGCAGCACAAAGCACAGCTAAAGGATCAGTTTACTGTGGTCAGTCTCAAGCAGTGGAATGAGTTTATCCTTGCTTGCTGGCTTATAGGTCCCAAGGCCTTCCCCTCAGAGCCCACTGGTAAAGTTTCTTCTATTTGTTTCCCATTTACTTAACATCTACTTTTGATTATTGAATGCAATAGAGTGTTAGAGTTTAATGAATAGGAAAGAAGAAAAAGAAAACTTGTGTGAGTGTTGGTAGGTTTGTGTTAAATATTTGATTAAAATATTCAAGTGCCATATGAAAATTTTAAAATCTATTATTTTAGTAAATAGGTTATCTATAAGACATTACCCTGCATGAAATTTCTCAGGGAGGACAGCTACTTTTTAGCTGGCTAAATGCTATTAATGTGGTAGCTACTTTTATTGACCACATTTTTATTTTCAACTATGGGCTTTTATTTGGCAATTGTAGAATCGTATACTTAAAAGTTGATTTTTCTATTCGTTTCACATGCTCTTTTTTCTTCATTTCCACCCTTCTCTATTGTATAGATTCAGTTAAAAGGAATGTCTGTATTTTTATACCCACTAGATAAATTATAAGAAACATGCGAAACAACAACAAAAAAAAACATTTTTTTTTTTTGAGACAGAGTCTCGCTTTCTTGCCTAGGCTAGAGTGAGTGCCGTGGCGTCAGCCTAGCTCACAGCAACCTCAAACTCCTGGGCTCAAGTGATCCTCCTGCCTCAGCCTCCCGAGTAGCTGGGACTACAGGCATGTGCCACCATGCCCGGCTGATTTTTATATTATATATATTAGTTGGCCAATTAATTTCTTTCTATTTTTATGGTAGAGATGGGGTCTTGCTCAGGCTGGTTTTGAACTCCTGACCTTGAGCAATCCGCCCGCCTTGGCCTCCCAGAGTGCTGGGATTACAGGCGTGAGCCACCGCGCCCGGCAAAAAAAGACATTTTTGATGGATGAAGATTGGAAAGTTCTTGAGTTAAGTTTTGTGAATTTAATGTTGGTGAGAAGTTGTGGATTTTCTCTTTAGTTAACATTTGTACATTTTTCTAAAACTGAAAATAATTCACCATCATTAAGATTATCAATCGTTAACATTAATGATTGATAATTTTAATGTAGCTTAAGGCTTTGGAGATTTATTCATTTAATTCATTTAGCAAATATCCGTATATTTGCATATATATGTATATACACATATCTGTATATACATGCACATGTAGATATATATGTGTGTATATACATATGTGTGTGAGATATATACATATATACATATATCTCATACATACATTGTGCCAGCCACATTGTACCAGGCAATATGCTGGATGGTAGGTAATACACAGACCATTAAATCATGGTTCTGCCTTTCTAGGGCTCACTGACAAAATGAAGAAGTGACATGAAATAAATACAGTGCACAGTGTGCAGAGAGCATCAAGGATGCAGTGGCTGGCTTATCTCCTTGGCAGGGGGTGAGGAAAGAAGACTTGACAGAGGAGGATTGAATAGAGTCCTGAAAAATCACAGGACTCTAAATAGGTTGAAGGTTTGTTTTCTGGTCTTAAAAAAAGTGTCTTCTTAGGCCGGGCGCGGTGGCTCACGCCTGTAATCCCAGCACTCTGGGAGGCCGAGGCGGGCGGATTGCTCAAGGTCAGGAGTTCAAAACCAGCCTGAGCGAGACCCCGTCTCTACCATAAAAATAGAAAGAAATTAATTGGCCAACTAATATATATAATATAAAAATCAGCCGGGCATGGTGGTGCATGCCTGTAGTCCCAGCTACTCGGGAGGCTGAGGCAGGAGGATTGCTTGAGCCCAGGAGTTTGAGGTTGCTGTGAGCTAGGCTGACGCCACGGCACTCACTCTAGCCTAGGCAAGAAAGCGAGACTCTGTCTCAAAAAAAACAAAAAAACCAAAAAAAGTGTCTTCTTCAAACTTGCATTTTATTTTAATTTGCTAAATATTTCCAAATTTGAAATTTGGTACTCTTAAAGGATTCCTGATCAAGAAGCATCTAGGTTTTGTTGACATCTTTAGGCATATATATATATTTTTTTAATGGGCAGAGAAAAAGTGCAGAGTTAGTCATTTTAATGTGGATATCACCCACTTTGTATTTGATGGTTGAATAAAACTGGTCAGGGATCAGCAGATAAATGTTTTGTGTAGCAGCTTCCATGTATTTATCTCATTCACTTGGCAATGTTCAGGAAAAAAAAAAATCAGCAGGTTTAACCTAACCTTATTATAACTGGTGGGGAAGTGGAGGTAGAGAAGGAGGTGAAATAACTTCCTCAAGGTCATGCTGTGATTCATTCACAGGAAGAGCCAGAAATAGAAGTTAAGTCTACTGATTCAAGTCTGAATGTCCTTGCTTATTACTCCTGTTTGGGTGTTCAGAGCTTTAAGATGATATGTAGAATAAAAACTGTTTCTAAAACTGTTATAGGACTTAGGGCCTTTACTTATGAGGTTTTCCAGTTTCTGTTTTTAATAAGGTGTTCTCTTTTAATGGTTGAACATCTGGCCTTCCTTGGGGGCTGGATGAAGGGTGGTTGTTGGCCAGAGTGAACCAGATCTTCTCTAAGCAGCTCTCGTGGAAACTATTCTTCTGGTGGTAGAGTGAATGCAGACTGACACAGGCCTCTGTTTCTCAGCTGTTGACTCTTGTCTTGTCATCTGGCATTACATTTTATTCTTTACTGTCCTCTGCTGTTTTTTATGGGTGTCTTGGAAATTACCAGAGGGTTGGGGAATACTAGCATTGTCCTTGGGGAATCGTTTCTTTTGGTCTTAATTTTGCATGTATTTGAATCAATTAATTGCCAGCTGCCTCCGAAGCAGGTGATCATTATATCTATAAGCTTCCATAAGGTTCTTTTATTTTTAAACCATAGAATGAGAGTTGTCAGCTCTGTAGGAAGGAACAGATGTTTTTCGCTTTTTACTGCCTTCCAAATGTAGGGAGAAAATTCAAGTGAAAAGGGATCTCCGTGGTGCATGTTTGTGTCTCTCTGGTAGATATAAAAACATTTAGCTATAAGGGAGAATAAAACTTTATCTTGTTTTAGCTATTAAGAAACCGATGATGTCTTAGGCCATTGCATTTAAATATTTCACAATTAATTTGTTTGAAATAGATCTTTTTCAGTGTTTAGTTAAAAAAAAAAATGCTTCTGAAATTTGAGAGGTTCCTTGACACATTAAGTATAATAGAAGCTTGGTACTAGAGTTTTGCAGTAATTAAAGTTTAGATATCTAACATGTTAGATTTGTGATGCTAAATCACTTTTGATTGGAATCTTTCCAAAGTCACTTATGTGCTTATCTTTTTTTAAACACATAGAATGAAAGTTTAATCTGTTTTAAATGGCTTAATATCATCTTCAGGAACATCATTTTTACATCTTATGAAAACATTAGTGATGTCCTCAATAGCTATTGAAGTGTGTAGGTTGGTGGCTTCAGTTTGCAGTTTCTGTTTTTGTGTCTATATAGTTTCTTGACTCTTTCTTTGCTGTCAGCTATTTACTCTTAGAGCTATCATCATTCTCAACTCGGCCCCCAATTCCTTGTAATTTCATTTTTCTGATCAATTTGTTGCTGGCTTGTAAATCCCGTGATTATGATATTAGCTATATTTATTGCACTTCTACTAAATGCCAGGCTCTGTGTTGCTTCATTACTTAATTATCTCTAATCCTTATAACAGTCTTGAAGTGTAGCTGTTTATACTAATTTTTCCAATGAGCAAACCAAGGCTCAGACAAGTGAGGTATCTTGCCTAAGGGCATTAAGCTAGTAAGTGGCCCATTTATGATATGCCCATAGAAAATCAAACCTGATGTTAACTTGTATCAGATAAAATCAAGTGGATCAGTGAGTTTTTAGACAGCTAGCTAATTGATAAAGTGTGTGAGCTTTAGAACTTGGATTGTGTAACCCTGATTTTGGCCTTTCTAAAGGTTATCTTGATTTTTTTTTGTATCAATGGAGAGAAGAAGGATCCACTCTAGGACTACACATTTTCTCATATGGCTTGTTAAATTGTTACACTGAATTTTTTAAGGCTAGGAGCGGTATGATTTCTAGTAGTAGCACCTGACAGAGTACAGATGTCCAATTAATGTTTAATAAACGAATGAAGGTCAGAATTATCCCTGAGATATATTATGTCTTACT